TCTATTTGTAATTATTTTCATTTTGGGCCCTTATTTGTAATTATTTTCAGTTTTGGGCCCTTATTTGTAATTTCCCCCCAAAAAAAATAACTATTATAATAATTTGAATAAAAAATAAGAAACAAATTTATCATTCTTATAATTATAATACAGTATATAAAAAGTTATATAATGATATATAATTAATAACCAAAATCCAATTTTCTAAACAAGCAAAGTCTAAAATTTTTATAACATTTATTTATTGCAATATATATATAGTTTATATTTTTTCTATTTGATATTTCTAATATGTTTTCTAAATATTTATCTATTACTATGTAATAAACCAATATGATAATAAATAAAAAAACTTGAATAAAATTTTTCTATTAAATAAAATAAATAAAACAAAAGAATTCAACTATTATAATTAATAAAGTCCGCGAAAAAGTGTTGAATTCGTTTGTAAAACAATACAAGGATTGGATAATACTATATATAAAAGGCAATAGGATTTTTTAAATCACTCAACGGTTACCTAAACAATTTTAACATTTGTTAGCCATAAAGTTTTCAAAGGGAAACTTTTGAACCAAATTTTTATCGAAACTTACAGATTTAGCCAAATTTCGTGGAAAATCGACATCAACTCCATTTAACACAGCAAGGTGATATGATAGCAATTGCAAAGGAATAATTGTGAGAATACCTTGCAAACAATCAACGGTCTGAGGCACACGAATTGCTTCGTATTGAACTTCTATACCTTCGTCGCCATCATTACAGATAATGATAGGCTTACCCTTGCGAGCTGAGACTTGTTGGAGGGCACTTTGTACTTTCTATTAAATATTCAAAATTAACTTCGGGCCTTTAAGCAATAATAAAAGTCAGGTGCAATTAAGAAATTAAATAGTTTACCGGATATAGAGAATCTTTAGTCATAATAAGAATAACAGGCATGTTCTCGTCAATAAGTGCTAAAGGACCATGTTTTAATTCGCCTGCCAAAATTCCTTCTGAGTGCATGTATGAAACTTCTTTAATCTTTAAAGCACCTTCTAAACAAGTGGCATTTTGGAAGCCACGACCCATAATTAAGAGACTTTTTTCTTTTAAAAGTTCGTTTTTGGCAAGTTTTTGTAAATCTTTATCAATACTGAGAACTTGTTTAATGTATTGAGGCAACTTATAAAGTTCATTAATAATATCGATTCGTCTTTGTGTCATGGACGTACGATCTTCACTTAATTGAATAGCCATCATCAGTAAAGCAATATACTGTGAAGTATAAGCCTAAAGGTAAATATAATAGCAATAATTATAGTAAATAATAATTAATAATTAAATAATAATAATAATAACGATAAGATACAGTAAAAAACTATTTATACCTTAGTAGATGCAACACCGATTTCAGGACCAGCATTAATGTGAACACCACAATGCGTTTCACGCGAGATTGTTGAACCAACTGTATTAGTAATACCGAGGCAAAGTGCGCCGCGTTCGAGACAATATCGCAAAGCAAGAATTGTATCAGCAGTCTCACCAGATTGCGATACAAACACGCATACGTCATCTCTGAATATAGGGGTCTTTCTATCTAAGAAATCACTGGCTAATTCCGCGGAAACAGGAATCTCTGTTAGTTCTTCAAAAATAGCACGGGTCTAATAAATAATAATAATTTATTATTAAAATTAAATTTTAATGTAGATAAAATTTACTCAGATATTTCAATATACTTACAGCTAAACATGAATGGTAACTAGTACCACAAGCACAAAATACTATGCGTCTACACCTTCGAATAGTCGCCAAATATGCTTTGAGGCCACCAAGGGTGACTTTATGAGTCTCAAAGTTAACACGACCACGCATAGTGTTAACTACAGATTCAGGCTGTTCATAAATTTCCTTTTGCATAAAATGATCGAAAGAACCTTTCATAATTTCAGCCAATTCGATTTCCAAGGTTTGGATAGAACGAATAGCAGATATTCCATCATCATGTCTTAAACGATGAATATGTAATTCTATTTTATTTATTTATAAACGTTTAAAGTCAATAACCAAATTACAAACAATTAAGAAATCAGCAACATAATTAGTGATTAGCATGTAATACCTCCTTCACCAATGTGAGCAATGTCATCATCTTCAAGGTATAGTACACGTTTTGTGTGTTCTACGATAGCAGAAGGATCGGACGCGAGAAAGTATTCAATAGGTTGAGGTAATCCATCTTCACTAAGAAAGGCGCGTGATTGACTACGTCTAAGTTTCGGAATGCCATCTGTAGGTGACAATAAATTTCCTGCTCCTGCTTCTGAAACTTTTTCGTCTTTTTTTTTGAAATATTATTTATTCGTTAAAATTAGGATTAAATTATGAAAATAAATTATTTATAATTAAAGTTTGTCTACCCGTACCGAATTCAACGTCAACAAAGTCTACCTTTAATTTTTTCTCGGTCTTAACACCAACCAAAAGGGGAGACCCACGCCTCGTGGCAACGATCTCATCGGGATAATGGACGCTCTTGAAGATCAAGGCAAATGCACCTTCCTAAAAAATCATGATGATGTTCGAATTAAAAATTGTATATGATATCATAATGATTGTATGCATAAAAAAGCTTACCAGTTCCTTGACAACACCCTTGACAAGTGCGGTGAAGCTTAAATTTTGATTAGGATTTTGTGTATCATAGATATATTTTGCAAGTTTAGCAACTGCTTCGGTATCTGTTTCTGATTCAAAATGATAGCCTTTGTTTTCGAGAACTGTTTTCAATTCTTTATAATTGGTAATAATACCGTTATGAACCACAGTAAATTCGCCTTTTGGATCTGAACGATGAGGATGAGAATTTGTTGGTGAAGGTTGACCATGAGTAGCCCAACGCGTATGGGCCATACCGCAATGGCTAACAAATGTTCTTTCAAAGTCAATGTTCTGCTCTGACACGAGTTTTTTTAAAGCGGCAACCTTCCCTACTTGTTTATAGATGAACACTTCTTTGGCAGCATCGCCGTCCACAGCTAGACCTGCTGAATCATAACCGCGGTATTCTAAACGGGCTAAGCCGCTTGTAAGAATATCAAAGATTGTTTGTCTATCCTTAGCGACAAGGTAATTGAGGTAGGCGAAAATACCACACATTTTGATCTGATTTTTTTGATTAAATTTTTTTGAAAAAAAGCGAGACAGAAAGGGAGAAGAACCGTGAAAGCATCGACTGGATGTATTTATATCTTACAGAAATATTCCATAATGTCGCACCGCGTACAGAGGGACTAACATAATTTTTAAAATTATCAATGAAAATGTGCCTTTCTTTATTTTTTTTTAATTAGATGCAATTTGCATGCAACACGCATAAACCAGTACAATAAGTTATTAGGGACAAAATAAATCAAAAAAAAAAAAACCCATTGTAAAGGGGCTTGGATAAATCTGTCTAATTATCCGAGTTTTTCAAATTAAAACAAAAATTCTCGTTAGTTTATCAAATTAAGAATCGTATACTTCGTATATACTTAAATAGTTTTTGTTAATTTAGAATAGCAAAGTAAATTGTAATCAAAAATAGAAAGCAGACTTGCCAAGTAGGTTCCGTACATACCTGGTGTGATGCAATTTTACAATATTATATATCACATAGTATATATTTTAACTGTCAATATTTGTCACGTCGGGTATGTATGCGTCGTTTTAAAAAATTAATCTAATTAGAAAACCCGGTTCTTCTCCTGCATATTCTTAGATCGGCCGATAAATTACTGATCAGCGCAACGTGGCACGAATTTGAAGATCAGAAAGCACGTATTTGTTTTCTAGATTAATAGAAAACGGTTCGTGCAAATCTGGCATAGGTTTCTAATTTTAGCACCATGATACAAATTAGCACTTCAACGAATCATTGCATAACTTTGCGGTTTTGAGAAGTCTTGTAACATTATGCTTTTCTTTTTTTCTTTTTCGCCAAGGTGCCATTTTTAGAACAAAGTTTTTTGGATACCTTTTTTTAGATACTAATACTTGGCATCAGAGCCAGTGGATTTTAATAGTAGCAAAAATAGCACTAGCAATATCACGACAACCACATAAACAAATCTGACCGAAATTGTTTTATTTTAATTCTATAAATACATAGGAATTAAAGTAAAACAATTTCGGTCAGATTTGTTTATGTGGTTGTCGTGATATTGCTAGTGCTATTTTTGCTACTATTAAAATCCACTGGCTCTGCTTGGCATGTAACTTTTTAAATTTCTTAAATAGACTGTAAATAGTAAACATAGCAGCTTTTTAAAATCCGATTTGTTAATTACTATATAACTTATTACAGTATATACATATATATTTTAATATTTTATATACAATACGTAGTGTAAAAAAAATTAAGCAAAAAAACTGCATAACAAAATTTTAATTAAAAACACACTATCGCTATATCAGTGTTGGAACTGAAATTCTGGAACTCCATTGGACGTCCAGATTTTTCCAGAGTTTGAGATAACCCGAACGGTTTTCTCACTGGAATGTCGCAATCTAATTGGCTAAAACTTATGTCATTCAAATATATATTATATAGTTATTGGATGTGCTACAGAAAAGGGGGAAATTAACAATTTTTACAGATCGTTTTTCACTTAAAACACAAAAGCAGTTGTATTAAAAAATTTGTATTAAAGTTTGTATTTTTTTATTATTTACAGTATTATAAAATTTATAACATAAAAATTGATCTTCCGATTTTGTTCTGTCGATTTCTCCCTTTTCTGTAACACTCAATAGCGGTATCTTACGACGACTGAACCAACAGAATGACTCGAATTCTTTTAATGACGATTGTGTCATCATCAAATAGCGAAGTTATTTGGTGATGATGCAATCATCATTAAAATAACTCGAGTTATTCTGTTGGTACGATCATAGTAAGGGAGTAAAGGAACCGTATTAATATTATTTCACCGACAATTATTATTCACAGAAAGATTATTTTACAGACAATTTATAGATGAGCTCAGTTCATTCCACCAACAGCTTATTTCAATGGCACATTTCGCAGACAAGTTTTTTATAAATTTCACTAAACTCTAATTTTAAACATAATCCTAATGAAGAATTACTGTCTATGATGTGTCGACTAAATTACCTGTTTATAGGATTTGCGGAATTACTACTGAAAATGGTAAATATTTAACAGTTACTCACTGGTCCATTTTAGATGATTTTACCACCAAAATAATTCTAACGAGCCCAAAATCGCTAAAATCCAATCGCAGGATCCCGAGATATTCAGCTTCGGGTAAAATAAGATAGGTTGGACCTATCCTATTTTACCCGAAGCAGACTAGTTTTTAAATATCTCGGGATCTTGTAATTGAATTTTAGCGAGTTTAGGCTCTTTAGAATCGTCTCATCGAGGTGGTCATTTTTGATGGTAAAATCATCTAAAACGGACCAGTGAATAAAAAGTTATTCACTGTTAAATATTTTGCCATTTTTCCGCAAATCCGCCCATATGATTTGTCCGCAAATTATTAATTTAACAGTTAATGATACTGGTACGTACATACGTAGTTTGTCTATCCATTGTAATCTTGTAAAAACCAATTATTTACCCGTAGGACTATTATATATATAGCAGTATTAGTTTTGCACAAGAAATAATGCCATAACTTGTCGATTATAATATCTTTACTGATTATAATTATAGATTTGGTACAACTCTGCTTATTTGATATGGCATATACGTCACATGATACCGTTACGAACGTTATACGCGGAGCTATATCGCGAAACGATTTAAGTGATGTCCCAGATAATTAATTTGAATCGGCCAACCAGACGTCACTGGAAGTCATTGAACATTACTGGAACTTCCTTTCCAGTGATAAAAAATCTTCCCTGGAACGGTCTAGTGACATTTGATCGCTGGAAGCTATTATGCATCCAGTCCGGTGATCTTCCAGTTCTAGTGAACAACACTAATATAATTTTATTCATCCAATAAAAATTTCTCTGACACACGCCGTATACATGTTCGTATATGTTAAAATCACGAGCCCAATGTGGAAAACAAAGCAAATTATTAATTCTTGCCTATATAGATTTACTTTATAAAGCAATATTTCGTTTCTATACTGATGCTTCGTTGTCTAAACTACCTATATTAATACATTATTCCAATACCAACTCACAGTTCATTTGTCGATAATCTGCATAGAATAAAAATGGTTGTCAGTTATAGTTATATGGGACATGCAGGCAGAAAATAAATCCTCGCTATTTGTATTCCATGATGCTAATAAGGTCCTCGCTCTTCAGAAATCTGTACAAAAAGTAGATGTCGTATGCATATATTTCACCCATACCTTAATTGTGTAATGTCTCGTCGGTTCAATAATTTCTTCAGTCCCTTCCTGGGGAAGGATGATCGATCGTGTTTGAGACTTTATCAATTATTGATAGTACAAAACATACATAGTGCCATAGACTTTATGGGCTAGGTGCTGGGAAAAGGGCCCAAATGATAATTTTTTCAAAAGAAATTTTTATATAAATCAATTAAAAAATAAGATTATATCATTTTTACTTAAAACACAAAAGTAGTTGTATTAATAAAATATTGCATTTTCTTATGATTTATTATTAAAATTTATAATGATTTTCCGAAGATCTTTTTTTTTTGTCAATTTGGGCCCTTTTCTCAGCACCTAGCCCTATGAATTACAACTAGTGCTAAGTACAACAAATGTGAGAACTCCGACCTCAATAATTTCTTTGTAATACAATGGTTTGGAAATCTTATCTCGTTACGTCATATTAAAATCACATGATTTTGTCCACACTGCGGTTATAGTATGATACCAGGTATAATAATAATATTAATATTAGTCGGCTAACAACATTAACAGTTACGCCTTATAATCTAACTTATCATTATATACCAATTTTTTATAATCAAAAAGAATTTCATAAATTGTTTTTTTTTTCTTTATCTATATATAATAAAAAAAAAAGACATCTAATCAGATGAATGAATTACCGACTCATGGGACCCTGACGTTAATTCAACACTTTTAGAGTCGAATATATAGGTGAGATGGGAATTTATTTCTTAGTGAGATTTAACAAAATTCACTTAAACATTTTAATAAATTGGAATATCCATGTTTTTTAAGTGAGTCTTCAATCTGAATAACATTAAAGTTTACATGATTTATTAATTATATTTTTTTAAATAAAAGGTCCTGATGATTATAAAGTTGCGGCTAGAATTCTGGCAAATAATCCGATTCCTTCACAGTGCAAATTTTTTTACTTTGAAGTTAAAATTATAAATAAAGGAAAAAATGGGTAATATTAATAATAAATTTATATTATAATTAACCCTAAGTGCAGGCCGTATGTTTTATTTCTTCAAACCACAGCCTCTTCTAGCCAAAAGTATGAAGTTTTATCTCTAAGCACAATAAATCTTATATAGTTTTTTATGCTAACAGTTTGACCGAAATGCACTTAGAGAAAATTAGCAGTATTTAACTATTATTCGTAATTTATTTTAATATTAACCTCTTTAAAGAATGATTGGAATTGGATTTTGCACAAAGCCAACTGATTTAGATATTATGGCAATGCCTGGTACTGTAATAAGCTTGAGTTATCCATCCTGTAAAAAATCGAAACCAGATCTCCTTCGTATATTACCACGGTTTTGGGTCAAAATCCTGACAAAGATTGACTGGAGTTCCGGGATTTTGACCAAAAACCCAGTATATACTGTACTACGAAATCATCATACTATTGCATAGCGTTACACGACGTATTTAATCTATAAAAATATATAGATTTGCCCTTATCAATTGATATTTTAACTGTCGCTGCATTTTCTTCTCACAACATCGTTTATTAAACATAATGAAGCAAAGAAATGTAGTCACTTCTTTTCTGACCTTTTCTGAAGGCGCAGATGACCCTACTGATCAAGGAAATCGTGTTTTACTCTTGAAACGTAGTGATAAAGTTAACATAAGTAAGTGTTTACTCAAAAAGAGTTTTTAATTTATAGTATGATCAATATCTAATATTATCATTAGACATCATTGGGCAGGAATTAGTGGTGGAATGGAGGCTAACGATAGTTCACCATTGGAACGTGCTTTGACTGAAATACAGGAAGAAACCACTGTGAATTCTTCAGATATTAAACTAATACGCATTGGTAAACCTTTAAATATTCGTGATGAAAATAATTCTACAATATGGAAAGTCTATCCATTTCTTTTTCATATTCAATCTGATAATATCCATAAGATTAAAATAGACTGGGAACATGAAACTTTTAAATGGACCAATCCTAAAGAATTGAGTTCTTATAATAATGTCCTAAATTTGTTAGAAACTTTTTACAGAGTATATCTTCCAAATAATGTACACTTAGGTTTGATTGATATACTTAATGATAGATCTTCTGGTGCTCAACAATTGGCAAGTAAGGCCTTAGATATTTTTCTGAAACAATAGAGAATAAGTCATGCCACGAATATTCTCAATGTTCCAAAGATTTATATATTGCTTATCTTAATATCGGATGGCACTTGTGTGAAATAAGACCTAACATGAAGGCATCTACATTATATGTAATAGTTTCAGTAATGCAACAATGTAAAAAAGTTTTGGATCAGGTCTTATCAATGGATTCATTTGATAATCAAGTTCTTGGTATCATAAAAACAACGAAAATACTTTCTAATGATGCAGAACAAAAAATCAATTCAAACTTTATGAATCCTTTATTTCCTAAATTTGATCAATCGTTACATATTATGACAATGAGTTATTCCTCTACAATATTTTCTGCACTCACT